GGGCAGGTATATAGGTAGGTGCTAGACAGGTGGGTGGGTATGTCAGTAGACAATCTTATATAAAGTACCACAAAGTGATACTTGAGTAAAAGTACAAGTATCTTACCATAAAATTACCATGGTAAAAGTTAGTCTCCTCTAAATATATTACTTGAGTAAAAGTCTTAAAGTATCTGATATTTTTTTGTACTTAAGTATCAAAAGTAAATTTCTGACGTAAAATGTACTTAATTGTTAAAAGTTAAAAAAAAATATTGAGTAAAAATGAGTGGTTAGATTTTACAAAATGATATTTATTGGGAGGTGGCCTCCCTCAACAATGTTTTCCTACATGACTATTAAAATATTAATACTAAAAAAAATTAGGATGCACTAATGTAGCTGTTTCAGGTATATGTACTGTATATACCACATATATCTTCAGGCTACATAGGTCTGATCTGTCCTGCTGGAGTGTGACATGTGTGTTGTGTGATGGATTGTGTACAAACTAATACAGTGTAAAAATGTCATATCTATATTTATATGTCTCATTCAACCACAATTACATTCACTCCATCCAGGAGGCACGTTTTATCTTTACAGTTTTTCTTTTAATAGCAATATGCATAAAAACAAGCAAAAATGAACTAAAAGTAGCAACTATAAACATTTTTGCCCTTTTTAAAAAATGTAAGTAGAGAGTAATTGTAATTGAGAGTAGAAAGTAATTGTGTGAAAATGTAAGGAGTAGAAGTAAAAAGTAGGYTGAAAAATAATTACTCAAGTAAAGTACAGATACCCAAAAATTATACTTAAGTACAGTAAAGAAGTATTTGTACTTAGTTACTTTACAACTCTGTCAGTAGTTAGTTACGTAGGTAGGTAGATATTTTGGTGGATAAGTAGGTAGGTAGGTGGACAGGTAGTTATGGCATCTATAGGGGCATCAGGATGTTTTAACAAGTTTGGTTTTTCAACATCTTCTTTCAGCGGGCAATGTCTCTGGAAGCAATCAGGTTACCGTGCTGATTTTTGTGTTTTCTGAGTTTTTTTTAGTTTTACGCTATGTAAATTTTGTAAACTTCCATAAACTATGGAAGCAGAGGAGGAGTGACMACATTTATTTTATAAAGCCAGAGAAAGACACATAAAGAATAAATTGAACAGGCTTGAGCTAGCAGTATTTAAGCTCGAGTCTTGGTCTATTTGTAACAGCTTTAAGATTCAACACCCTCCTCCAAAATCCYACCTAAATGCCTGGATAGATAGAAAGCTATGCAGGTAAGTAGTCAAAGCTTTTTTTTCGACTTACACTTTAATAAAGATGCAGAAACAGAAATTTCCAAATTACCTAGAGAAAGATGATCATCAGGCAATAAATCAAAAGATATAAAAAAAAGAAAAAATATAAAAAGGAAATCCTGAACCAAAGAGCTCGGTAAGAAATGAGCAAGAGAGAAAAAGCAAGAAAAAAATGGATTTGACCAGAGGGTGAAAGTCTATGAAAAGAGATCAGATCTGCTCAGCAGGAAGAGGAATAAGGTGGAATCTGAGAGGAAGCAGGAAAAAATGAGCTCATCTGAGGCTGGAGCTATGAAAAAGTGCCAAACGTGTTGGAAAAGGCACATGTTGCTTAAGGCAAGGTAGTATAGCATCTGCGAGGAGACMAACTGAACATGTTGCTTTGTAAAGCACAAGGAGGTCATTTTAGTGTCACATAAATGAAACTGAATACTCTGGAAAACACTGAAGCAACTCAAGCACAACAGAGAGCAAACCTATTTATTAACATTTTTTTCTTAAGTCCACCGTAGCTCTATTGTTATTGTTGTGTCTCATTTTGAGGGAAACAAGGATTTGATAAAAAAAATAAAATAAAAAATATTAAACCTCATTTCCAATGAAGTTGGGAAGTTGTGTAAATCCTAAATAAAAACAAAATATGATGATGTGGAAAGATGAGATATTTAATGTTCAAATGGAAATAACTTTTTTTCAAATATTCCCTCATTTTAAATTTGATGCTGCAACCTGTCCCTGAACTCTTTGCAATTTTATGTTGAGAAACGTTGGTCCTCAACTGTCTATTTGCTCAGGCAGTTGTTCACGAAATGGGGAACCTCATCCCACCCTTGCTTGTGAACAACTGAGCTTTTAAGGGATGCTCGTTTTATACCCAATCATGACACTCACCTGTTTTCAGTTTACCTGTTCACCTGTGGAATGCTCCAAATGGGTGTTTTTTAAAGCTTTTCTCCTATTTTCCTGTCTCTTGTCCCTGTCCCAGCTTTTTGGGGATGTGTCGCATTAAATTCAAAATGAGTGAATATTTGCAATAAAGCAATAAAGTTTATTCATTTGAATATTAAACATCTTCTTTGTATTTGTTTCACACAACATCACAACTTCATTGGAGTTAAGATTGTATAACACTGGACACCACATGAACTCAAACTGACCTGTGACACTAAAAAAAATATAAAAACTCCCTACACTTTTCTTTCACAGTGATTCTCTAAAAAAATGCATTAAATAAGTGTCACAGCTGTCATCTGTCGTTGTCATTTATATCTGTTTCACACAGTGAGTGTGTCTTTGCTTTTATCTTCTCGATGATGAAATGAAAACAAAACGACAGCCTGGCAGATGATCAGCATGACTATCAGCCAGGCAGAGATGCAAATAAATACCTTAAAGCTTGTGTCCTGTTTGTTTTCATTTCTCCTCCTGCATGAATTATCTGTTGTCCCTCTTTCTTTCTAAGCTTTTTCATGTCCCCTTATCTCAGATCTCTTATCTAGTGTGATCACAGGCAAGGCAGAGGGAACAATTCAGTCTGATAAGCCTGGCTAGGGTTAGCCTTTGGCAGATTTCAGCCTCAAAAACCTCCCACAGATATTTAGGTAGCTTTCACCTCAGTTTTTCTATAATCATCCAAATACGGTCAAACAAATGAAMCAACTGCAAATGAGCATTAAAATGATTTAAACTGTTCGCTTGGTGAACAGTATATAAAGTTAGTTGTTGATTTATTTTTCCTTGTAATTTGGAAAAACAAAGAAAAAAACATAACTTTGACTTCGAACTTCTACGGCAATTTCTTCTCCTCTTTCCACTCCCCACTTTTCTTTCATTCTTTTTTTCTTTTTTTCTTCTCCTGCTGCTTTTTAGCTGAGTTCAGCAACCAGCCACATCCCACAGGGATGTATTGAGGGTTAGACGAGGAGATTTAACAACCAGCTGAAGAGAAGAAAAGGGAAAAGTAGGCAAGCTAAAACAGAGCTAGAKATGGGGAGGTCACAAAAATGGGGGATTAGCTGTTGAAAGAAGGGGTTAGAGGTGAACTTCTTCCAAAGAATTCACATTTTAAGATAAGCTATCATACCTCGGCCTGAAACCTTTAGCAGCGTGACAAAAGATGAGGAGTACGGATTAAAAACTCAGAAAGAAACCTGAAGATTTATTAACCATAGGAATGAACAGTAAAACTGGTTCTGACCAGTTGCTCATACTATTTTTATTTTACAATATATCCTTGTGAAAAAAAGAAAACACAACACAGTTTGCCTGTATTCATTTTTTTTACTGCAGAGCAGAACTAAAGTTTTAGCTCCCAAAACTAAATAAAACAAGCAGCGTTTCCAGTGTAAGGCCAAACAAAGCAGAACATATGGAGGACACTGGATCCTCTTTGGCTGTGTCCAAAACGACAGGCCGGGTCCTCCGGAGGACCC